AAGCATAACTTATAATGCAATGATTATTAAGAAAATTGTAAACACTTTTCATAAACACTTTTCACAAGTTAGCAAACTCGCAACTCTATAGAAATTTTTGTAAACCTGTTATTGGCAATTAGTCCTGTAATAAAGCTATAGGAGCACTGAACACTACAGTTTTCATACAATATTTTTATCGTGAAACATCCTCTGCACCATACAGCCTCATGTAGAAACCAAGCAGCTGAGAAACCCACAGAACAAGTTACTTTCTTAAACCTAAGTAGCTAACGAGCAGGTTATAAATCAACTATACCCTGATAAAAAAGTTATAGATACTGTATATTTGACCCCCCATTTTGGGTGCTCCCTAGATGGAGAAGAGCCCTAGCATTTGCCTTGACTGCCTATGCGGGCCTGACCTGGTTTACACATTTTGTACAAATAGTGACGTTATTGTAATACAGTACATAGGGCTAACAATTGATTTTGTTTGTCTCTTGGGTTGTTCTTGTAAAATAAATTTAAACTTGTTTTATATTTTGCGTAGCTTTTGAATGTTTATTTTATCTGTCAGTCAGTGCAACAAATCAAACATTTCATGACATGTATACATTTTTTGAATCGCTCAGCATGTCACGTGCCCCTGCTGGTGCTGCTTTTAATGTACTGTCGGATCGCGCGTTGTCAACAGAAGAAATGAAAGGTAAAMGTCTTTATTGTATCCACTTTTAAAATTAAATACTTCTGAATCCTGTAGGGTAGTTTTCCGTGTTTTTGGCTGACATTTTTTTATGTTTGAAAATAGGTTTTCTTAGAACATACGAGTTAAAGTTATAATTTCCATCGGTCAGTGAACGCAGCAAAGCTTCGCTTCGCTCTGCCTCTGCCCAGTGCCCACTGCGGCCATTTTGAGTTGGAACCGACGGAGGCAAACTGACAGGAGAAGGTCGGAATTGTGTAACTTAAAACACAGTGTACATGATCAGTTTTGTCACACATTTTTCGGCGACTGTTACTTGCAATGCAAAGCCACATGTGTGCCACATTGGAGATAATTTTACTGCTACCAGCTAGCTTTATATGCTTAGCTTCGCTAACATTAGCTTACGCTAGCTTGTGATCGCTCACTTTAGCTCTTGATGTTTAGCRTTCTGCGAGGTTGGCATTTCAACCCAGTATTTATTTTTGGTCTCATACGTCAACCTGACACAAGATCATGTGCCTCATAACTTCTGCGCCCATAACAAAAAYAATTGGTCAACAGTGAGCCGGATGAGCCTTAAGTTTAACCTAGCTAGTGAGCCGGAGGTAATGTTAGCTCTGCTAAGGCTGAAGCTCGTTTTTCTGGTCATCTGTCGAAAGTTGCGTTATAACGCGCAGACTGCAGCACCGTCTGTCGTGTCATCTAAAMTCAGGTAGTTTCTGCCTGGATGTTTCAGGTATAATTTCTGAGCGAGGTGATGTGGGACCAGGGAGGACAGCAGTGGCCGCAGTGGCCTCTGAGCCAGCAGCAGTGGATGCAGTCATTTCAACATCAGCACGACCCGGGTATACGAAGGATGCGTTTGCACCTTAAACAAATTTAATCTAATAAAATAAAGTAAAAATTCAAACAGATCTCGTGATCGTGTTGAAAATGGTATACATGGTCTGTCTGATTTGTTCAGGTCAAGTGGACTGGGCAGCTCTTGCTCAGGCTTGGATAGCCCAAAAGGAGTCAACAGGAGCACAACCACCCAGTGTCCAGCCCAATGGCCAGGACATCCCAGGACTTGAATCTGTTACACCAAGTAACCATGGAGCCTTCCAGAGTGACCCAGCATTTGGAAGAATGTGGCAACCAGGTAAAAGATATTTGTTCTTAAAAGTAAAACTTCATCATAGACACGTCTGTGGAGTTCTCTCCATGTTCTGCTCAACTATTGCAACAAGAGCCAAGGATTGAAGAAAGTACTAAATGTGTTTACCCCTTAAAATGCCCATAATTAGCAGATTCTATAATTTAAAAAGAAATTATGTAACAACACATTTATTCGATTGGGTGTGTAGTCATATATTGTTGTGCAGCAGTTTGGTTACATTCTATTGTTTTTAAATATTAAATGTTTATAAATAGATTGATGTGAGAAGTAGGATGAAATTTGCCAAGATAAGTTGTGGGGATACATAAATAAGTTTTAAGCATCTGAAGAGGGCATGACATTTTAGTTTTACTTTCCAGTAGAAGTCAGGACCTCCTGTTAATCCTCATCAGACTTAAGTAGTTTATTTCCTTAAGTGTCTAGTTAAACTCAACGTCTTTAAATTGCTCATGTATTATTTTTGTACCATATTGATTTTTGATTAAACATAGCAAATGCCAAAAAAGATGTAAAAGGATGGCTTGCAGTGTGGCTTTTTCGCGTAGTCAACACCTGCCGGATGGTTCAGCAGACTGACTGCATTTTACATCTAGGTTCAGATTTAGTTTTTCTAAGCTTACTGTTGAATTTCTGGCTCTGCAGGAATTGAAAGAACACAGACTGCAGTGCTGCCTACACACAGCGCCAGCTTCACAGCAGGACTGTGCTGAATCTCAGTCTTCCATTCATCATTTTGAAAATTAATTGACATTTATTCTTCAGTATTTTTTTAGTTTTGTATGTAATTTTGTGGTTKAATATTGGGCTTTGGACTTTTTGAGCCATCATGATTGAAGAGTGAATCACTGACAGAGTAACTTTTTTAGGGCTGCAACAACGAATCGATAAAATCGATAAAAATGGATTATTAAAAACGTTGGCAACGAGTTTCATTATCAATTCGTTTTGTCCCGTGATTTAGGCGTCTCTCGCCATGTTGCAGAGCCGTTTACGTCACCCGCAGAGCGTTGTCAATGCTGGCTCACCTAAATAAAGTTTAGGAAGAAAAAAAAACTACCTGTAAAGATCCGCCCTCTCTGAGACTCAAGAGTGAAAAGCAGAGACTTCAAACTTCAAACCAGTTTTTAAACTGTGTTGTTAGGCCATGTAGATCTGAAGTTATGATAAAAAGCATATGCCTCTATTTTTTTTTATAGAAGTCTGATTTGATTTGCACCGCATCGTGAGGAGGAAACAGATCCCGTGGCGAAAAAAAGAACCTCATTTGAACTCAGTCCACCATTTCTTTACTCATCTCAGCCCAGAAATATACAACCCACATCTTTTTTTCTAACCGAGGCTCAAAGTTATTTGCTAAACAGCAAAAAGGTTCAGGATGAAGGAAAAAAAAAAGACGCAGCAGAACTCCTGGTCTGACTCAGTAGGGGAGGGGGAGGGATGGGGGAACTGCTTCAGAACCGGGTCATTCAGTCAGACAGAACCAGAAGGAAGCAAAATGTAAATAATTAGAGAAAAATCATAAATTCTAAATGAAAATAAATTCTAATTATAATAAAAAATTAATAATAGCTTTACATCTAAAAATCATATTT